ACTAGAGGTCTGAGTTCTTGAATTTCTATCTAAACTTTTCTTCAGATAACATTGCTCGTCCTTTCGCAGCTCATCCTAATATCAGTCAAATATACCCTATTAGAAACACTGTTATATTGATAGCTGTCATGTTTGGCGAAGGAAATCTGCCAAAATTTGAAGGATGTTGACTGTCAAGATTCTTGCGTGCTTGAATTACGGATCAGGCAATACTTTCGGCTGATCTTATTAGGGTAAATGTCATCACACGAAGACAATGTCTGGGTTTTCGGTGGGATGCACTTGAAACTTTCCTCGGAAGGTATCCGGCGATGATAGGTTTCTTTATTCATCTATCTATTGTTTTATTCACAAGTTGATCTTTTCCCGTCGACTTTGTATATCACAAGTTGTTTGCCATACCGAAGAATGGTTGTGAAAGTAGTCATTAGCCGGAGTACGTAAATGCCGAAGAAACATGAAGCTTCAACTGGCGTGAAAAGCCGGGAAATTGAGCCCAAAGGGTGCACGTGGTTGAGAGCAGGGACATTTTTCGTTATGCATGAATGCAAAACAACTACCACCAATTTATGATAATTTGAATTTCTCGAAAGGTCTTCCAGAATTCGTTCCGCAACACTTTCATACCCCAATGGATATGCCTTCAAGGTAATAATGATTTTTCCAGGAATCACATAAACAATCTGAAGCTTCCCTCCGAGGAAGCCTTCGCTCAAACTAAATTTTTTTCATATAACCTCGCAAAAAGGCTTACGGTGGCTCGTCAAATAATCGTGACATGTGCTCACGTTTCTTTGGCTCAAAAGGCATTCACACAGCCCTGGGTTTCGCATGAACCCAAGCCAAACAGGACCATGCTTGTCTTTAATCTTTTCTACCTCGAAAATTAATAAGAAATGCGCTCCTCTTTATTTTTTGATGAGGGAAAGAAACTCTAAAAAGCCTCAATAACACAAGACAGCTCATCAATGACTTGCAATTGACACCCAATATTTGCGATCTACGAGTCAATTTGAATAATCCTGTGTCACCTTGAACAAGGAGTTAACGTTAAAGAACTTTTCTACTACCCTGTCGTCAATGTGCACATAGTGTCTTAAACGAAAAATCATTTATATGGCTGAAGACTTCAAGCCTAGGGCAGCTTTAGTCCTTGTCATTTGAAACAAAGTCCTTATGTTTTGGTCTTCTTTCTTTTTCAGCTGGCAATTAACAATTTTGGGTCGAATGTCAGGCCAAGTTTAACATCATGGCACGCAAAATTCTTGTAGGAAAATCGACATAAGAGTTCCATGAACCTATCTATACGTGCTCCTCTTTTAGCAAAGTTCAGTCAACAAAAATCCGAAATTGAATATTCGATGTTGTTAAAGTATTGATAAAATCTGATGAAAATTCACACCTTTTGCGGGTAATGAAAGCCTTTCAAATGCAAATATCGTTTTTGTTTTTAGCTTCATCTAGAACAGCGTTGTTTGACCTTTCGATACGACGATGAACGGTTGGTTGTCACATCATAAACACTAAATGTGCGAAACGCAGCGGATGAGAAGTGTGTTGGCAAAAAAAAAAATAACGCGAGAGAACGCAAAAACTGCGTTATTAACATGAACTTACCTTTGCTCTCCTGTTTTGCCTCGGAGTTATTACATCACGGGCGACAAGCCGGGGAAGAAAAATAGTCTGAAATATGAGTGGTCAGCGGTGAACTAGCCTTAATCGCTGAGGAGGAGACAAATCATTTGTAGTTGCAGTAAATAATCGTGTTATAGAGCCCGAGATTGTACCGATGTACATCGCTAAATAAAAGATCAAGCAATTTTTATAAAAGCGAAGACTGTAAAAGCATTGAATTTACCGCTGTAATAACATTGGTGGCATGGAGAAAGGCATCAAGAAGAATTGAGGTTACGTTTGTAACTTGCTGCGTTACGAAAACAAAAGTATATTGACTTCCCATTGTCAAAAATGTCAATCAAATTTGACTTGAATCCAGTCCGTCTTTTCGGAACATAGAGTTAATATTTCAAAGCTAACTGAAACAATCAACCAGAGGATGAATTTAATGTCATTAAGAGACCTTAATCTACCAAGGTAAGTGATACAGTTCTTGGTCATCAGTCAAAATATATTTTTGCGAGCGTCACTGGTCCAAAATCGCAACGTGACGGATCCCACAATGGAGGATATCCCGGCTAGAATCAATTTTCGGTGGTTTTTGCTCGGTCCGTATCATACCGAGTGCATTTGTTAAATTGAATCAGGAAAAAGAAAAAACATTTTGGAAAACATAATTATTTTAACGAGTGGATATTTTGAGAGAATGTTTCCAATAAAACGATTAGCCTTGATTAGAAATATTTGAGGGATGGTCAACACATAAGCTGTCTCTCGAAGCTCAGAGTTTCCCTCCTTGTATATTTTCGCAGAAAAAGGCAGGCGATTATTTCATTTGTAAGAGAACTGTGCTAGCTTAAAAATAACGAAAGTTCAAGCCAAGAAAATTTATCCTTAAAAAATATAGCTTGAATTCGACCGCATGCACCACTTCAGAAAAACCGCGTCTTCATACCGGCACGCATAGGGCTGGTTTTTGTATCCTTTTTTTCTTGAAGGAAGAGCTTAGATAATTTCTTTGGGAATGTCTATTAAAGTGCACTGCACATCCCAAAAATTAAGCGCCCATGAGCTTTAAAGCAGACAAGGATTGTTCAAGTTTTTCGCAGGTTCAACATAACCGTTTGATGCTGGAGGGGAGCAAAGACGATTTTGAAAACCTGCCCTTAACTAAAGTTTTCAAAGAGTGAAACCGTTAGCCGTGAAACAGCAAAAAAAATAGTGGTAAGGCGTAAAAAATTGACAAATTGTAACCGTTACTAGTAAAAAAAGTTAACCATACTTTTTTTCCTGTTAACTTCCGTGTAAATAAACTAACTGTTAGCCATAAAATGGCCAAAATTTTAGCTGTTAACCGTAAAAGTCATCGCCCCATTAATCCTTTTGTTTCCATGAGTGAGCAAGAAATTATTTCTCCTCACAATATCATGAATTCAAATGGTGAGAGGAAAGAAAAATATCTATCAAGGAGTTATTAGTTGATCTAATACCAAATTCTCCAAACTAACATCATAAGAAATGTATGGCTGACAGTGAGGTGAATTACTTAAAAGATCCAACAGCTAAAGGGTTGAGACCCTCAAAAATCTACTGATCAGTCGGTAGAGTCGATCGAATATACGGGAAACGCAGAAAAATGGCGATTGTTCATTCAGAAGCGTCCTTTCCAAGATCTTCGATTTTCGAAGACAACCAGTATCACCTGTACATGTCAATGCATGTTACCCTGCAGATTCACGTCAATAACCCGTGGCACTTTTGTATGTTTTTATACGACATCCCTCTACCCCTCTGAAATCCTATGGCATTTCAATACTAGTTATTATTGTGTCAACAGGCTTATGACCAAAATGTGCGTATTGATGTGAAACAACTTATTTTTAGTTTAAACGAAACAACCTTTACAAAACTTAACAAGTACGTAAACTAAACAACCCCAAAACAATTGAGTGTCTATAATGCGATTTGGTTTAACCAGGACAGCGTTAGATTTGTAAGATAAGGTCAAACATCCTCTTACGAAGGAGCATGTTCAAGTCTTGACAAAATTAAAAGGTGATTGATAAATTATTCATTTATTTATCAAATTATTGTTTTACTTTGTTCGCACTTTGTTTCCGCAGTCGGTAAAATGAAAAACAAGGAAAACGACATTCAAACAACAGAGCACTTCTCTACAACAACGAGAGCTTCCAACTCCCACTACGCAATTTCTCTTCCTGAAATAGGGCTCAGCGACTCAGATTTCTTCATGCAAGAAACTGCAATCAGCATCGCAGTACCAGCGGTTATCAAAGCACCAACCATGTTGAACATAGGGACATACGATCTTTCTATATCTGCGACAAGACCTTAAAAAAATGTAATCAATAAAAATTAAGAATTTATCAAGACTGTGAAAACTCTTCCAATTGTCAATTTTGCCGATCAAAATTTTCCTCCGACGAATGTTGAGGGGATTCCCGGCCACTATACATTTGAAAAGTAAACAAAACTGAACTTTACCTCCAAGAGCCGGACCACAAGCTGAAGCAAAACAACTGAGGCAGTTATACGCCCCGATCCCCAACGGTCGCATTTTCTCTGGAAGACTGTTAATCACAGCAATGGGCAAACCACAACCCATTGCACCATCAGCCAAACCAAATACCACAAAGTATAACACGAGGCTCAAGTTTGTGATTGCGAAGGGTAGCAAGAAAGTAACCACACATTCAACACCTGTGGCTATTGAATAGATATAGAACATATTGATCCAAGTGACGTCGTTCAGTCGACCAATCATCGGCCGGATTAGCAAGGAAGTTAGACCACTGTAGATATACAAACGCGCAGCTCTACTCTCTTGGACTCCTCTGCCTTCCAAAAAACGAACCTGTAGCAGTAATCAAGTAGAAAAAGGAACAAGCTTTCGCCTCCGTTTTTTTTTTCCCGTGAATTTTTAATAACGATGTAGCGTGACACGATGAGGTGTGGCTGGTAATGTAAAACACGGGAGATGTGCCACATAAAGTTTAATGCGAAAGCGTGACGTGAAGCAAGGGCCTCGTTAAGGGGGGGGGGAGCCCGTGACCTTCTGACCTTCTGTAAGTTAGCCTTTACGGTGTGGAGGTCGACATGAAAATCTGGTGAGTACCCCCTGTTTTTCTGGCCCTAACTCTGACCCTTCCCTCCTTTTAAAAAATCCTGGCTACGCCCCTGACGTGAGGTATACGAATGCGCGTGAAGATGGGAGTTATTTTGTTCATGATGGATATTTTATTACGTCGTGAAGAAAGCGATGTACGTGATCCAATCCGTTGAGTACTGGATGCGATTAACGATGTTTTCTGGGGATTTCACGGCCGAGACTTGATTCAAATTAAAAAACACAATGCATAAAATGCTAGGTGCGATGAGTGTGACTCTAGTTAACAAGTCATTTTTACCTACATTATACAAAGAGGGTTGGTTGTATGGGTATATTTCAGACTTACCATATGAAGAGTTGGAGTATAGTGGCCAAGGTAGTACACAAACCCAGCTATTGTTACGAGAACAAACACTTTTTGCTGGAGGATCTTAACATCCCAGAATTTATCACTCTTTGCTGAATCACTATTCTCCTCTTTCACATCAGAGTCCGGCTCAATTGGCTTATAAACAAAAGCTGAAATACAAGTAACGGAGACAATACCAGCCATAGCCAAAAATGTTCCTCTCCAACCAAATCTTACGAACAGCTCATGCACAACTGGGCTCATGATAAACATCCCTCCACCGGGCCCCATGGCTATGAGACCCAGACTAAGAGAGCGCCATTTCTTGAAGTATCTCGGTACTACTATGTAAGTCACCAGGTAGATGCCGCCGGAGCCAAAACCGAACAATAACCCGTATGTTAAATACATCAAGTAGAGGTTTGTTACTTTGGATGTGACAGCCAGACTAACTGCACAGATTATGGTTCCAACAAATGAGATAGCTCGAGCACCAAAACGACGATAGAGCCTAGCGATCAGTGGACCGTAAATGCCTATACCCATCATGGCGATGGATCCAACCCAAGCTGTTAAGAACATTGCAACACTCAGTTTATATACACAACTTTAAAGAACCACAGGTGTCACTGAAGTTAATAATAATGTGGTGATGCGCAACACCAGGAATCTATTTATTCCCCCTCATATTTTTTGTTTATTAGCGTTGTTGTTTACAGATTTTTATGGAGGCTTTTATTTTACGCTGAGTGAACAACGCTTTGCGGAGAATTCGGCGCTATGTCCAAAGTAATAACTCACTTGAGAAGATAACCCTTAGAATGTGTGGTTGGAGGGAAGGATTTAACTCCCTGCCCTTACATGTTTCTTCATATGCCGTTTCTTTAATTGAATAACGATTGCAGCTACAACCTCAGCCTTACCTCATTACTAGGTACCAAATATGTGGAACTTACTTCCGGCCTTTCCACGTGGAAAAGTCAACTAGACAAAATTATTTACATGGCTAGTCTCAATATGTTGTTTTAACTCGACTATCACTGGAATGTCTTACCCTAAATATGCCCACCCGAGTCGAACTTATCAGAGACAAGTGAGTGACGTTCAAGGTCAGTAAACTCTCAAGGCAACCGTGATACAACAATAATAAAATGAAAAAAGTTAAGAAACTGCGTCAATCAATGAAAACCAGGAATTTCACTTCCTTACAATAAAACAGACTCAGTCAATGACATTGTAAAAGACGAACAGCGATTCTAACCATAACATCAAGCGGGAAACGATCAGCGCTTGAGAGTCAAACAAACAAACAAACAAAGATAAAAGTCTATGCTTAGATTGAGTGTCCTTCTTCGTTCCCGAGCTCGTTATCGACGACATATATGTGTAAATAAAGAAATTTACCTGATCTAGCTTTCCCTTGTTGAAACTCGTCCAAAATGGCAGGAAATAGAATTCCATAACTAAAGGTAAATCCACAAATTACGACGTTTGAGACAACAGCAGCAAAACACACCAACCAAGACCAACAGCCATCCTGATGAGGAGAAACATTTCTGATGCATGTAACAACCTGAACAGGCTTTACAGTTAGGCCTGTGTCTCCTTCTTCATCCATGAGTAATTATCTTCTGAAGGAACTGTGAAAACGGAAATGGATCACAAGACACCTTGAACAGATCAGTGCTAAATAATTGTTTGAAAAATCTTACCCCAACAAAACACGCTGCTCTAAAAAACGGCATTTCTATTTTTTCGCTACTCAAGACACTTTTGGCATCGTTAATTCTTTAAGCGTGCTTGAAAAATGTTTACCAGCAAGAGAAATGACGTGGAACCAATGGCTGCATTACTCTCTCTTGATACCACTTACAAAACTTATCTCTGAAAGGTCTGTGTTGAAGCGCGCGAGTCTACAGAGAGCAACTCAACCTGGAAGGCAGAAATGCCAAGTTCCAAACACGAATTGCGTGTCTGTGTGTATTTATTTTTTTTTTTTTCTGTCTGTTTGAAATGTCACGCATCGAACGACGTCGCGAAGAACGGCCGCCAATTGAATGTGTTTAATCGAGTCAACTAACACCAAGAATAGCCGTCGAGGACTAAGAGATGAGTCTACATGAAGTACAACAGTTGAGGATCGACCAAAAATTTATTAATTTCAAAATAATGACGGTTACCCCCAATTCTTTATTAACGGCGGGGCTATTCCCGATTTAATTTTCATATAAGAACCGAATTTAAAAGGCAAGAGGTTTAACAAATATCGCTTTATATTCATCGTCCACAAATCCAAATCGATGCTTCCTGAGGCATATGATTGTAGTCCTTCTTAATCGGCATCTTCAATCTTGCAGTGAAATCTAAAGATTGTTGATATCTTAAACAAAACCGATTGACCGTGGATAAATTATGCATGCTGTGCTTATCTAGTCGAGTAGCCTAAATTTCAAAATAGTGCTATGGCTTGGACTTGAAATGCACGAGCTTCGCTTACCTTACATTCACTCTCTCTTTCGCTGGTAGATCGCCAAGTGATCAATAAATATATAGAACTGTTTAGCTACAAAAAAAAGGCTAACTTATGAATAGCGAAAGTTCGAGCTAAGAAAAATAGGAATTTAAGCCTAAAATTTATGCTTAAAATATAGCTTGAATTCGACCGCATGCTCCTCTTCAGAAATACCGCCTCTACATACCGGCACGCATAGGACTATACTTTCTTTCTCTTAAGGGATGAGCTTAGATAATTTATTTGGGAACATCTCTCAGAAAGCACTGAGTGACATCCCAAAAATTAAGCACCCATGAGCTTTAAATCAGACAAGGATGATTCAAGCGTTTCGCAGGTTCAACATGACCGTTTGACGCTGAAGGCGAGCAAAGACGATTTTTAAAACCTGCTCTAAACTGAAGTTTTCAAAAGGGTAATACCGTAAGCCGTAAAGCGGCGCAAAAAATTAGTCGTTGGCGTAATTGAGTTGCTATAGAATCTAACTTCCCCTTACAATATTACCACTGGTCTGAGTTCTTGAGTTTCTATCTCAACTTTTCAATTGATTGAAGTGTTGGTCCTTTCGCAGCTCATTCTAATATCAGTCAAGTATACTTTATTAAAAACACTATAATATTAATTGAAGTCATGTTTGGCGAAGGAAATCCACCAACTTTGAAGGACGTTGACTCGCAAGATTCTTGCGTGCTTAAACTACGGATCAGTAATAACTTTTGGCCAGTCTTAAGGTAAGAGTTATCCGACGGAAATAATGTCTGGGTTCTTAGTGGGATGTACTTGAAACTTTCCTCGAAAGATATCCAATGATAGCTGTCTTTTTTAATCTATTTATCGTCTCATTCATGAGTTGATCTTTTCCCGTCGACTTTGCGTATCACAAGTTGCTTTTCATACCAAAGAATGGTTGTGAAAGTAAACATTAGCCGTAATACGTCGGAAAATCGACATTAAAGTTCCACGATCCTGCATAAACGTGTTCGTCTTTAAACAAAGTTCAGTCGGCAGAAAAATCCGGAAATTGAATGATGTTGTTAAAGTACTAACAAAATGTAATTAAAATTCACAGCTTTTGCGGGTAATGAAAACCTTTCAAATGCAAATATTCTTTTTTTAGTTTTTAGCTTCATCTATCACAGCTGGTCGACATTTCGACGCGACGACGAACGCGGGTACTAAAAACACCAAATTTTAAACAATATTAATTACAAGCTGCCAGTCTTTGTGGAGGGTAAAATCGGTTGTGCATCATAGTAAAAAATTTAAATGTAATTTCGTCGTTTTCGACCATTTCAGAATATTCACACCGATATGGTGCAATGACCTTGTATTTGGTTGTCACATCATAAACACTAAATGTGCGAAACGCAGCGGATGAGAAGAGTGTTGGCAAAAAATAACATGAGAGAAGACAAAGATTGCGTTAGTTACATGAATTTACCTTCGCTCTCCTGTTTTTCCTGGTGAGTTATTACATCGCAGGCGACGAGCCGGGGAAGAAAAATAATCTGAAATATAAGTGGTCAGCGTTAAACTAGCCCTAATCCCTGATGAGGAGACAAATCATTCCTAGTTGCAGTAAATCGGTCGTGTTTTAGAGCCCAAAATTGTACCAGTGTACATCGCTAAATAAAAAGTAAAGCAATATTTTAAAAGCGTTGACTGTAGAAAAAATTTTTTCCTTGTTGTAATAACATTCATGGCCAAGAAGAATTGGAGTTACGTTTGTAACTTACTGCGTAGCGAAAAAAAAAAAGTATATCGACTTCCCGTTGTCAAATATGTCAAGAGCAACTCTAGCTTCTTGAGTGCTCTCCGAACTTCCCAAGTGCTTCGTATCTCGATGAACGCACAGCTGACGTATGAACCAATTGTTTTATAACATTTTCAACACGGTGGAAAATTGTTTTTTCTCGAGGGATTTGTTTGCTGACGTCATGAGCGTGCACAATAGGAATATGAAGCACTCTTGAATTGAATTTGATAACACAAATTTACTGGCTATGTTATAATCAAATTTGGCTTGAATCTATGTTGTCTTTTCCAGAGGATAGAGTTAATATTTCAAAGCTTACTGAAACATTCAACCTGAGGATGAATTTAATGTCATGTATAGACCTTAATCTACCAAGATAAGTGTTGTACCGAAACCTTTGTATGGCTCTGAATTTGAAAGAGAGAGAAAAAAGGGAAAAAGTAAAAAAGGAAAACTTTCGTTTAAGAACAAATCTTTCCGGCAAAAGATAATTACAGTTCAATCATAAAAGGGGGGCTCATTGAAACTGGAGTAATCTTAGGGTGTGTTCCTTTGGGGGGATCTGGGTTTGGATTTGTGATCCAAGATCACGCAGATCACGGTGCATGAAAGAAACGGAATTCTAGACGAGCTCTCAGAGAATTCCAAAAAGTGCGCTATTTTAAGACCTGTGTAGAGCTCTTCACTGAATGGCTCGTCTAACTGCACGGGCTTTTAGCGCGCACTATTCATCAGAAGGACATTTTTTCATGGTAAACTCAAACGATGGAATTAAAACAGAAGTAGGTATTAATTACAATATGGATAATTGGGAACCCTGAATGCCTTCGATCAATGGCCGATCGATTTAACATTACAAAATCGATTTTATTTCGTGTTTATCGCAGAATTTGTAGAGCGATTGCCAACAATCTTTCCGGTCAATATATGAGGTACCTACTTGTTTGAAATTGAGCACCGCCGGGCAAAATGATTAATTTCGGATCCTTCGCCCAAAGCAACGCGTTGGATCAGTGATCCAATGATCCGTCTTTAGAAGACACAGATCAATGATCCGATGAATCCTTGTCCAGAGTGGATTTTATAGATCACTGATCTGAAAATGGATTTGCTCGAAAGGAACGCCACAGATCAGAAATCCTGATCCGGATTCTCCCAAAGGAACGCACCCTTAGTCGGCCTTATTCTGCTTAATCATAATACATTATCCCGCTTGACATATAAACCACAAGAGAATTTATATCTCTTGCATACCAGTATACCTTGCCAATTTTTTTTTCGAGCAGTTTTTTGCCGTATTAATTACAACTGAGTGCAACGACAATATCAGCACCTATGCTAGTTTAAATCGATTATATTGCTGAAATCACAACGTTTGTGGTTTATCTGTAAGTTGAGGCTTTCGCTTCGAGCAAAATACCGCATGTAGTTTTGGTCCCAAAAATATTTCGTGACAAATACCTGCTAGTGAACAAGTCTTAATGTATTCCTAGGGCAGCATTGCCTAAAAATTATCTGATATCGGACTTTCCGTGGAATAACAAGCACGGCTTTGAGTTCTATTCTTTCTCTCATATTATGATCGCATTTCTTTCCACGTATAAATGTGACTCTCCACTTGGTTTCAGGGAATAAGGTGAACGCATGCACACTGCACGTCATGACACGCTCGCACGCTAATGGCATGACACGCTTACTGTGCAGATATGTGCATAAAAACAATTTATTTTGGAAAGCGTGTTCGAAGCCATTGTCCATATCTGGCTAACACAATAGAGCTTTGTTTCTATAACACGCTAGATTTTTCTGTTTTGTTTTAACACGCTAAGTTAGATGATTTTAGATATATGAAATTCATATATCTGCACTGCGGTGAAGAAACGAAAATAAGAGATCCTCGCAGCTAACAACACTACTGACTAAGTTCCTTTGTTTCCTTAACACGCTAGCCGATCTTGTACAACCCAGCTTACTTTGTTAATTGTGTTTGTCAGCTTCTTAATTGTGAGAATGGTGTTTGTAAAGTATATCACTTATAGAATTTATGCGGAAATGAAGATCTTTTCTCGTGATCGAAAGTTCTAGTAAAAAAGGAAAAATTCACGGCAAGTCACGGCTCTTTCCCTCAGGATTTTCACAGTGAGCACGACGTGTTCCACAAGGTCCAGAGGAGCTCAGTTTGAGCACATGAATTACTTTTTTAAAATTTAATTCTTACCTTGTAAAATATAACTCCTTATTGCTTCACGGAGTTATTATGCCCAGTACCGAATCTTTGGGAATCCTTTAGCAACAAATTTCCGGCTCCATGTCTCCTGATCGACGCGGTCGCTGTTCGTCACTTCATGCAAATCTGCATTTTAAAAAGAAGTAACAGCTAGTTAGTCGGCGCAAAACGAACCTTTCCGAGCGAAGCCGCGTGTTATTTACTGTACGCTGATCTTGGCATCTTACGAGCTCTTAGTCTTGAGCACTGCGGTATTTACCTTGCGTAACGCAACTGTAACGTCGATATATTCTGTTATGTTTGGCAATTTAGCGACCGAAGTTGCACTGGATATCGAGTATCGTATCGGCCGGGCGTATCGGTGAGCTGAAAAGCCTTACAGCTTAGGATGTACTTCTTGTGCAAATCGAAAGCAACTTAAACTTTAAGAGGCGTGTTATAAAATTGGCACAGTCACCGTGTTTCATCGTGCAAAGTTCAAACAAGGTCTAACTCGTTCCTCTGTTTCTATCTTGCGAAGCAAGACAATGACTGCGAAGTTAATGAGGCGAGTAACTAACACGCAGCTAACTTGTTAAAACCTGGTTCTTTTGTTTTAGCGTGCGAGCTTGCCATGTGCGTGCGTTCACCTTATTCCCTGAAATCCCCTGGAGGGTCACAAATGTTATAGAAGCTGCTCCAAAACTTAGCAGAGGATTGCATTGCTCTTCAAGCTTTGCGATTAGACCTTACTTCAAATCATTACTCTTTCAGGCTCCTGTCTTTCAATTATTGAGAAACAAAAATAAAATTATTTAGGAATTGGCCGCCCAAAGAGATTGTTCAACTTTATAACTCTTGGTCACCTCTCTATGCTTACGCCTTTGGCGGTTTGCAAGTTTTATATTTTTTTGGTTTGGTTTTTTTTTGTTTTTATTATTTCTTATATTAATTTTTTGTTTGTTTGTCTGTTTAATGTCGAAACGCGAGTTGAGACTAACACAATTCTTTTACGGGGGAGGTAAGGGTAAGGTTGATGTTTTGGGTTTTTAGGTGACCCAAAGTAAAAAAAATTGAAACTAATTTTGGTTCAGTTTTTCATTATAAAGTGAAGCTTTTTCATTGGCATAAAATGCAGACAAGTCAATTATTTCTATGTAATGAAAATTTGATATCGTAACCTTAATCTTATTATCATTGGATTGCAGTTGACATATGCACGTGTTTGAGCAAGGATTGTGAAGGGAAAGTGACCAGTGCTTCGAGCGACCCCCGATCGGTTGGGTTGAGGGCTTCCCGAGGAGATAATATTACTTTTTCCCTCAGGGGTCACGCGAAAAAGCTGGTTCAAAGAAAAAAAGCACAGTAGTCTTCTACGAAACCATTCGAGGGGTAGCGTGACTGCAGAAGTTTTGCTAATCTGGTGAGGATAATTAACAGATTGAGGGCATGTTTTTATTTATTTCAAATCTTGCAGAATCGACGCAAAAAGGATTTGGAAGGATTTGGATGTCAGCTCAGCAAAGTACATGCAGCCTTGAGTCGGGTTTGCTTACAACCTTAACAAGCAGTGCGACAGTTTTTACCCGTAAGCTCTGAGGGTTACGTTAGGGGTTACATTATTAATAGTCAGATTATTCGATTCGATTGTGAACGCCGACAGGTACCAGAAACATTTGTGTACGAATCTCAGACCGATTCAAAAGTAGATATGCACACGTAGTTTTTAAAAAAATTAGCTGAAACGCCTCGTATGGGCGGCCGTCACCACCAAAAATACAAGGATGTCAAATAGATCAGCAAATACAAAGCTGGTTTAAGGATCAGCTGCAGGATAGAATAGCTAATAAAGGAATGGCATGGCCAAATTATAGACGATTTAATTTTCCTTCATGAAACAGAACACCCTAATCATGAATAGTCTAGCCAAATGATAAACGGTCTAGTTGCCCATGTCGTGTTGGAACATGAAATTGTGAAATGGACTAGCTCAATTACGAATAGCTTAGCACTCATTTGCAATACAGTAAACAAACAGTGTAGTGTTGCGTCAAATAGCACAGGGTAATGTCGAGTAACACAGCGTACGCACAAATGGTGTAGCGTTACGTGAAATAGCTCAGCGTAATGTAGAATGGTACAGCGTACATACAAACAATGTAGCTTTGCTTGAAATGGCTCAGCGTAATGTCGAATGGTATAGCCTACACACAAATGGTGTAGCGCTGCGTGAAATGGCTCAGCGTGATGTCGAATGGTACAGCGTACACACAAATGGTGTAGAGTTGCATGAAATGGCTCAGCGTAATGTAGAATGGTACAGCGTACACACGAATGGTGCAGCGTCATGTCGAATAACTTTGCAGAACATAAGACGCTCTATCTGAACATTAAATTTCTTAGCATTATGCGAAATATTTCGATGTTGTGGCGAATCGTCGAGCTTGCTTGTGGCGTGACATGAAGGCTATCTCGCCGAAACCACCAAAAATACAAACCGCAAATGGAACAGCGATCTGCTGGGGGCATGACGTCATCGAATGCGAAGACTGCCGCGAAACCATCACATGGTGTAGTCGCTGTGTTGAAGAGTCTTCACTTCGCCTTGCCGTAAAGCAGAGCCAATTCAGTGAGTTTCTCCTTTTTTCCCCCGCCGATATTTCATTTATTCGTTGTCGTTCACGGAAGCGTTAATTAAAATAGCAACGAGACTGGATTCTACCACATTTTTCAATCAAACATGTAGTTTGCCAAAGCAACCTTTTTCCGAGTCGGTTTTATCGTCCGGCACATCAATTAAAGAATTCCGATATCACTTTCATTGAAAAATGTCAAAACAGATCAAGGATATCAGTTTTCTTACCATGGCGTCCAGGGCTCACACAAAATTCAACTTCTCACGTACTCCTCCAATGTTCAAAGAGCCGTTGAAGTTGAACTCTCATTAAAAAGTAAGTGTGAGTCAGAGAAAGAAAAGAGAGCTCGACAATCGACATTTAATGCACGTCATAACACTATTTAATACTATAAACATATTCAGGCCCACCAACGCGTGCAAACTTTGGTAAACCGGGAGGCCAGTGTCACAGCGGATTTGGTCCGGTCCAAAAAAAAAAAAAACCAAAAACCACCAAAAACCAAAAACCAAAAACCACCGGTCCAAATCTGCTAGCGGATATGGACCCCCCTTCGCAGATTTGGACCCCCTTACCAAACGTTTAAGTATCGTTTGTATCATATTTGGTAACTTATTCTATTTACAAGCTTTTTGTCGATTTTCTTTTCAATCACAACACAACATTCCTCAATAAAGATAAAGAAAAACAGCCATTTCGTTCCAATCCTGCCGCATTTATTATAGCGAGTCATACAGTATACTCAAGAATTAGATGCGAACAAACTACTGCATTCGAACGATTGGAATTGTAACAATAAATCTTTGCTTCTTCTGATGCGAATCAACATTGATACGAAACGTCATAACAATAGTGGAGACTATTGCGTCCAGTCACAAAAATAACTCAGTCTGATTTTCTAATCAAATAAATTTAAACAGTTTCTGAACAAGAACGAAGTACCAACCCTACGACAAGTCGTTCGTAAGGCCTATGATAAGAAAAAATGTTTCTATTCTGAACTATTGCAACTCCCAGCTTATTTTCAGATGCAAATCAACATTAGTGTCTACGTCTTAACAAAAATGGAGACTATTTCATCAATCTCAATCTCATTTTCTAATTTTAACGATTATTAACTGTTGAGGGATCTGAAATAACAAACTCGCACTGTATCATGTCGTCCCAACACTTGGGCATTGAACAATAATAAAATAAATTAGTGTCATAAGTTTGTCTCTTACTGAATCTAGCGGTGTTCGACTATCGCGGATGAGGTTCAAAAACGACCTTTCTCCTAACATTGAACTAAATGCTTGCACATCTTCCCTTGGTCAAAAGAAACATCGGAAGGGTCATTTCTAGCTGCCAGTTCGTATGCATCGGCGATACGCATATTTTGAATTAAAAACATACTTTAGTACGCACTGAAATATTAAGTATTATCTCTTTCTACGAGAACGTTAAGGATGATGTTTTCACTCAGTTCTGTTGGGGGGTCCATATCCGCTAGGACACCGGCAACCGTGGTAGAACTCAGTCTCGTTCCTATTTTAATTGACGCTTTCATGAACGACAACGAATAAAAGCAATATCGGTAGGGAAAAAAAGAGGAGAAACTTACCGAATTGGCTCTGCTTTACGGCAAAGCGAAATGAAGACTATTCAATACAGCGACTACGCCATGTGATGCATGGTTTCGCGGTAGTCTTCACATTTGATGACGTCATGCCCCCAGTAGATAGCTGTTCCATTTGCAGTTTGTATTTTTGGTGGTTTCGGCGAGATAGCCTTGGCGGCCGTCACCACCAACAATACAAGGATGTCAAATAGATCAGCAAATACATAGATGGTTTAAGGATCAGCTGCAATATTTTACGCAACTCTACACCATTTGTGTGTACGCTGTACCATTCGACATTACGCTGAGCCATTTCATGCAACGCTACACTGTTTGTATGTACGTTGTACCATTCGACATTACGCTATGCCATTTCACGCAACGCTACACCATATGTGTGTACACTGTACCATTCGACATTACGCTGAGCCATTTCACAACGCTACACCATATGTGTGTACGCTGTACCATTCGACATTACGCTGTGCCATTTGACACAACGCTACACCATATGTGTGTACGCTGTACCATTCCACATTACGCTGTGCCATATGACGCAACGCTACAACGTTTGTGTACTGTATTACAAATGAGTGTTAGGCTATTCGCAATTGAGCTAGTCCATTTCACAATTTCATGTTCCAACTCGACATGGGTAACTAGACCGTTTATCATTTGGCTAAACTATCCATGTTTAGGGTGTTCTGTTTCACGAAGGAAAACTAAACCGTCTATAATTTGGTCATGCCATTCCTTTATTGGCTATTCTATCTTGCAGCTGATCTTTAGACCAGCTTTGTGTTTGCTGATCTATTTGAGATCCTTGTATTTTTGGCGGTGACGGCCGTCCATAGCCTCGTTTTTAAGAACGTCAAACAAAGACGTCCCTTGTGAAGGGTAACAGAACGCACGTACAGTTTGTACGGTACAAAAGTAAAATACAATCTCATAATTTTCAACCGTTCCATGATATTTTGAATTCACGATAAAAAAAAAAGCCGGCATTATCATTTAGAGCAACAAAGCGCAGTAGCATGAACGTTTACAATGGGTTTCGTGAATCATAATAAAATTAAAACCTACAGATGCGACACGCAAAGTCCTATGTAAGCTAATAACATATTAAATGCTATAAGCGGTGTGAAAAGTTCACACAAACATACCTTCTAGTTCTCAGAAATTTGGCTCCTTTGAGATTTTAAGGTGCCTTGGGTGCTTTAATCTTTCAATCTCGGAAGAATCTCTTGAGTGGAAGTTGTCATTAAGCGTGGTTACCAACGACAGAGGAGACAGAA